CTCTCTCTCTCTCTCTCTCTCTCTCTCTCTCTCTCTCTCCCTCTCTTGTGCCTGTACATGAATGGAAGCCAAAGGACACTATCAGGTACATTGCTCTAGCAAGCTTTGCTTTGTTCTCTTGAGACAATGTCTCTCACTGAACTTGGAATTAGGCTGGTGGCTACCTAGCCCCAGCAATCCTGTTGTCTCCATCTTACACATGTACCACATATTACTAGGGGTTACAGGCATATGCATGACCATGTCAAGTTTTTTTTTACATGGATTCTAGGGATCTCGACTCAGGTCCTGATGCTTGTACAGTAAAGGCTCTTACTTCTCATCTGCAGTCCTCATTCCTTTTTAAAATTTTATTGGATCTCACAGTTGAAAGACTGCCTGTGTATCAAATGAGACTGCATTTGTGTTTGAACAGTTTTGGAACTGTTAAAAAAAATAACTGTGAGGAATTTTGAGGTTGGACTGAATGCATTTTGCATTACAAGATGGCCATGAACCTGTGTGGCCAGGAATAGAAAGTTGTAGTTTAAAACTGATATAGTTGACTGTTGACAAGGGGTAGACTTGTGATGGTTATTACTATCAACTTTGCCTCTGGCCATGCCTATGAAGGATTATCTAGATTAGGTTAATGGAGGTGAGAAGACCAAAATGTGGGTGCAACCATTCAAGAGCTGGAGTCCCAGACTGAACAAAAGCATAAAAAGGTGCTGAGTACCAGCTTTCATTTCCTCTTCGTGACCATGGACCCAGTGTGACTGGCCATTTCAAGCTCCTGCTTCCACGACTTCCTTGCAGTCCTCTGACTCCATGCTGAAACTGAACCAAACTAAACCCTGCTTTCCTTAATTGCTTCTTGTCAGGTATTGCATCATAGCAATGAGAAAAGTAACTAGGACAGCAGGTGTCCTCAAATCCAGTGCTTCCTATACTCTGGTTCCCAATGTATTCTAGATTGCCTTCTTCTGAGTCCCTTACATATTACAGGGGTTCAAAAATCTGTACATATGCTTAAGATTTCATTATGCTTGGAATCTTAATTTTTGTATAAAATCAAGGTACACTTTAACAGAGGTGACTTTGGAAGTTATTCTAAACTTACGTTACAGACACTTGTTCAGATAGTGGTACAGATGGGGCAAAATCTGGGCCCTAGCTTCTACTCTAGAACTTTTACCACTGCACCTGGTACTGCAGTACAGTGATGGGAAGGTGGGTGAGTGTCCTGTTGTACTAAGGGAAGGTGGTGGGGAAGACACAGGCTCCTCCTGCTGGAAGGTACTGGGGCTATGATCCATGAAGTGGGCAGTGTGGCTTTTCAAATCCTGAGGAAAAGGATTCTTACTTTGGATGCTCCCCAGTACAATCAACATTTCAATGGAAAATGGTTACTGTGCAGATTTTAAATGAGGCACATTTCAGAAGCATCACAAATTTGGGCTATTGTTCAAATTTCATCGTAAGGTCCGTGGTAACATTCTGGAAGGAAGGGTGATAACAGTCTCCAGGGAAAGGGAAGGAGATAAATGAGATTCAAAGATGTAGTAGGTGTCAGTATTCCTAAAGGTGAGGGGCTTTTTATGTTTGTGGCGGTGGTTTTCTGGAAGGGTGAGCATCCTGACACATAGCTTTGCTTTTCTTCTTTCCTTTGGTGCCATCACTACAGACTTGCAAAAAAGCCTCCCATTAGAGGAAGACATAAGAGAGATGGAACATGGACTCTGAGAGCACAGGCCACTGCCTATCATACACAAGAAGAAAAAAGTAAAAGGGAGACTTTTTTAAAAGTCAGGCAAGAAACAAAGATGAAGAAAGGACTTTGAGGAGAACCACATATGTGAGATAGAAAAGCTAAAGAAATACCTGTAATGATGCTAAAAACACTGCTACAAAATAGGCCATGTAAAACACTGCCTTCATCCTTCATTTTGTTTGACTGGTTCTGCCAAGGACAGCCAAATCTTAATTACATTAGCTAGACTATTTCTGTGGTAATATATAAACAGAGCATCAGTAAAAAGATAATTAGGCTTACATCTTGTCCATTAAGGCCATCCAGTCCAGGGTATCCTTTGGTTCCGGGTTCACCCTAAAAGAAATAATTTATACAATGAAAAATGTTGTATCTCAAAACCTTTACTAAAAAAAGGCAAGAGAATTATGTTGTTTGGATATTTAAAACAAAGTGATAAATTTGTTAATACCCTTGAAAGGAGCCCTGAAACCAAAGAATATGGAAGATTCAAAGAAAAGCTACTTAAAAAAATGATAAAAGAGTAGAATTAGAAGGATTATTTATTTTCTTCTATAAGCAAGCAAGAACTTTCCAAAGGGCAATTTGGCAACATACATCAAGGATCTTAAATCTGTTGCCTTCACATGGCTCCATGATTTCATTTCCAAGAATATATCCTAAGGAAATAACCAGATAAAAAACTTAAGGCACTAACACATCAAATGCAAAGGTATTTGCAATAGTTAAGAGAAACATTTCAGATGCCCAGCAATAAAGAACTGATCCAATAAATTATTGAGCGTAGATGAATGGACTATGGTGCAGCCACCAAAATCATGTTTATGACTTTATGTTATGCTTATTTTATACAAAATACTTATTATGCTAGAAACAGTAAAATACAGTTAATGAATTGAGAAAACTGGATAAATATCAACCAATGAATTGGCAAAGGGAAAGACTTTCTAAACCAGGCCCCAATAGTGTGTACATTAAGACCACCAATTGATAAATGGGACTTCATGACATTAAAAAGCTTCTGTACAGCAAAGGACACCATCATTCAAGTGAAGAAGCTTGTAAAATGGGAATAAAGTTTACTAGCTATACATCTGACAGAGGGTTAGCATCTTGAATATACAAAGAATTAAAAAATCTAAACATCAAGGAAACAGACAATCCAATTAAAAATGAGACAGGGAACTAAGCAGAGAATTCTAAAAAATTACATGCAAATGGTTGAGAAATAAGTTTTAAAACGTTCAACATCCTTAGCCATTAGCAAAACACAAATTACTCTAGTCAAAATGGCAAAGGAAGGGGAGGAGGAGGAGGAGGAGGAGGAGGAGGAAAAAATGCTCTTATGGATGTGGGGAAGAAAATTGATAAAACCACTATGGAAATCAGTGTGGAGGTTTTTCAGAGAGCCAAAAATATGTCTGTCATGTAATCAAGCTATACCACTCTTGGGCATATAGCCAAAGGACTCTATAACCTACTATAGTGATATTCACTCATCCATGTTCCTTACTACTCTATTCACAATAGCTAAGAAATGGAAACAGCCAAGATGTCTATCAACTGATGAATGGATAATAAAAATGTTGTACATTTACACAATGGAATATTATTCATCTATTAAGAAATATAAAATCCTGAAATTCACAGTTAATTTCATGTAGCTGGAAATAATCATTCTCAGTGAGGTAACCCAAACCTAGGAAGACAAATGTCACATGTCTTCTCTGATCTGTGGATGTTAGTTTTGAATCTTTAGATATATGTATTCATTTGGAATACACATAGAAGTCAGGGAACTAGTAAGGTACCATGAAGTAGGCCTTTCAAGGGAGCTAAGACAGAATACAGTAGTATAAAGAGGAAAGGGAATAATGGAAGAGGAAAGGTGAAAATGGTTTAGTGGCTGGGAGGACTGGGTATATGAGAGAATATGGAAACTTATTACCATAGGAGCTTCCTAAAATATATACATACACATACATAAAAAAGAATTTAAATGGAACTATCCTAGAATAGGGTGACAATGCCACTATTAGACTCCACAAGCTAACACATTAAGTGCCTAGTGCCAAGTGTGGGTTATTTCTCTTGGAGTTACTAGCCAGTGATATTCCATTGATCCCTAAACATTACAGGCTATTACTATTGCTCTTGGTTACCTTCTAGAACTTGTGGATACAAGCCAATTGCTCAACATACCATATACTTGAGTCATAGACTATGGAGAAATCAAGCTGGTACTCACTTGAAGCAATGTCTCTACTGGCTAGCTCTCATAGTGCTAAAAGGCACTATGCACGCTACTCATGGAAAAACATTACCATCAGTCTTATCTAGCTGTGAACCCTGTGAGCTATAATAACAATTGGCTTAGTAAGACATGCCCATCACTGGTGCAATAGTGGCACACATGCCGTGGAAATAATCAATTGCTTTTTGCTTGGATTTAAGGCCCAATCCATAAGACGGAATCCATACCTGGCACTATTATCAGGGACAAGAACTTGTGTCTAGATGGATCAAAAGCCCTGGGGTAAAGCCTATTAGTATTATTCTACTAAATGATCACAACATTAAATTGACTTCCAATGGCTTATTGTTATACCCAGAGATTAATACATCTCTCAGACCTCAGAAGCTTATTTTTTTACAGTAGATTGTGAGTAACACAGAGACCCACAACTGGTCAGCATGCAGAGAATAAGAGATATGGACTGCTCAGCTCTAAATGGAAGATCTGTATAACAAGCCTTCCTCCTAATGCCCATGGATCATCACAGAAGAGGAGGCAGAAAGACTGTAAGAGCCAGAAGTGATGGATGACTATAAATGGGACAGTGGTTTCTGGACACAAAAAGGCAGCTGCACACATGAAATCACAGTGGTTGAGGCACCATGCATAATGTCTGCATAACTGCAATCCAGACAAATTCCCAGCATGGAGGGGGGGAGTCGAGCACAAAATCCCACCACTAGCTGAGGAGCTATTAGCAGCTGGTAGTGGCTGAGAGACGGGGAGTCAGTTTTCATTAAGAGTGTGGCCCCTGGTGGGTCAACCACACTCCAGTGACTGGTCTTATACCCACTATTCGAAGTTGTGTAGGAAGGGAGGGTACAACGGAACTGGGAAGAGTTATGAGAGGGCGAATATGATCAAAATACGTTGTATGAAATTCTCAAAGAATTAGTTTAAAAAGTTACAAATTCAGAATGACTGTAAATACCATGTTCGGTGACACATAACAATAGTGTGGTATGGTATGGTGGCATGGTTTGGTGCATGTGGTGGTATGTGTATATGCAAAGGAATGCACATAGATTATTTGCTTTGCATGACAAATGTGATTTTTTGCTTTCTATTCCTAAAAAAATTGTACAGTTAACATTATTATTTTTACTTTAAAAAATTAAATTATATTCCCAACCTTAAGAAGCAGTATATTAAATGTTGAAATATCATACAAAAACAAATGCTTATACATAGTCCCAATCATCTAAGAAGATTATTACTAACCAATGAAATTAAGTATAATCATTGGTCTATGATATGTGTACATATATATATGCAAACATATATAGCATCAACAAAAGTGCATAAATCATGTTCTGTCCAATACACAAAAATTAAAATGAAGTTGAGGATTTAAAACCCAAAGTGGAGGGTGAAGAGGTGTTCTAGAGCTGCACTGTTAAGTAGCCACATATGTGACTATTTGAATTAATTAAAATTACAAAAAATTAAATAAAAATTGTTTCTTGGTCCAGTGAGATGGCTCAGCAGATAAGGGCACTTGTCACTAAGCCTGACCACCTGAGTTCAATCCTTGGACTTGACATGGAGGCAGGATAGTCCTCTGCTTTCTACATGTATACCATGGCATGCATGCCCCTTCCCTGCCACACAAGATAAATGAATAATATGATTTTAAAATTATTTCTCAGTTGTCCTAGACTCATTTCAAGTGAATTCACCCATTTTCTATCAAGATGGAAAATTCCACTGAACAATGCTATTGTGTATGACAGAACATTTGGGAGTTACAGGTGTAGCTCTGTGGGGAGATGCTTACGGAGCAGGCACGAGGAGCTGGGTTAATTCCAGGTCCCTCATGGTATCCATGGATACAATCAGAAATATTTTAAATTTAACTGAAAATGAAGACAACATTGATTTCAAAATAATTATGGGGCTAATGATGCAGCTCTGTGGTACAGGATATGCCTAACATAACTTCTGTGCACTATGGGTTTAGACTCTAGCAACCCCCAAAAGTAATACCATACAGTAAAATGATGGTTTCTATACATGGAAAAATCTAAGCACCCTATCTATTCAGAGTTTATGTGCTTGCAAGGACATTTAAAAACTTGGCAGTGGCTTTAAGGAAGGAAAGTAGTTAGATAATGATGGATGATGGTGATGATAGTGATGATGAGGATGGTGATGTTGCTGATGCAAGGAATGGACTCCTTCTCTAGAAGATGTTGATCAGGTGACCCATAGGCCCCTGAAACAATACTGGCTGTTGCCCCTGCTCTTGATTACCTGCCAGAACTAGATGGTAAGATGCTACTGCTGAAGACACTACATACATGAAATGTAGACTAAACAAGGAAAAAAATCAAGTTGGTGCTGGCTTCAGAGCTTCATCTCTAGTTGTTCTGGTTGGTGCTATGCATGTTACTGGAAGGAAAAAAATAATCATCTATGTTACCCAGATGTGAATCCTTTGAACCACAATAACAATTGGCCTGGCAAGCTATGCCTACCAGTACAATAGTGGCATAAATATTATGGAAGTAACCAACCACTTTCTAATTAAATTTATGGTCCACTTCCTAGGATGGATCCCATACTTGACACTGACATTAGGCCTAGGAGCCTGAGGTGTAACAGGTCACAGGACATGGGGAGAAGCTATACAAGTTTTCTACTAAATGGTTATTGTATTAAACTGACTCTTAATGACTTATTGTTATACCCACAGATTAATACATCTCACAACTCTCACCAGAGATGTGTCTTTATGCAACAGATGGTGATTAACACAGAAACCCACAACTGGCCAGTGTACAGGGAACAAGAGGCTGCAGAGTGCTTATCCCTGAATAGGACATCCTTCATTCCCTGTAGACTCAGTAAAAGCAAATAAGAATGTCTATAGACATTGCCAAATATTTTCTACTGGGCAGTTACTGCCTGCGAAGAAGAACCACTGATATATGTGTGTGAATTTGTGTATTTGTATATATATATATATATATTTGTGTGTGTGTGTAAAACAGTTCATGATATTAAATATTATAGCACATTGAAACATATGCACTAATAA